CAAAGAGGACTTCTTAAGTAAAGGTGAAACAACTGCTTCTTTCAATGATGTAGGGAGTATAGAAAGTTCCAAARATAGGTTAACAATACGGGTGATTACAGGATACAACAAATCAGTACACTCCTTCATGATGGAAGCTGGAATTGGATCAAGCACACRAGATTTGACAGCGGACGCACCAACATAGGTTGACAGCTCCTCAACAGTAACGTTCTTGAACTCGCAGAATACAGCTTGGCAACAGTCAGAATCAGGAAACGGATTGACGATATCTTTCGTTCTTGTCTTGAGATCACTACTGAGCTTTGATATCTTACCATGAAATAACTCGGCAAAAGAGTTTGCKAGAGTTCTTGGACAATCAGTTGAAGGAAGTTTCTTCTCGGGTTGACGATGGAGTAGCTTGTCAACACTTGAGAAAAGCGCCTTGGGGTTAGATTGGTTATTCATTTCATTAAATATACTGAATAAATTAGATATTTGTATAAATGTATACTACAACGTTTCTGCAATCGAGTGTATATATAAATATATACATATAAAAATGGGCTAAAACTCCAAATTGCGGTATCTAACGGTATATAATTCCACATACATTTCTCTGTAATAAGGTGCATGTACATTGCTTGGGCCTCCTGTGTTCAAATATATTTTTGCATAATCAGTTTTCGATGTACTATGTCARTGTTGTCTAAATATTGCGTGACAAAAACAGTCACAGGAGCGAAACGAAAAAAAAAAAAATCGTTTACAGACATTTTCTTAGCACGGGGCAAATAAATAGAACGTGATAAAAAGCTAACAATTTCTACCGAAATAATTACGGCTAAAGACATTCTGCAAACGTGCTAAAAATAGCTATTTAGAAGCCTTGCTGAAAAATGCAATAAACACATGGAAAAGGACAACCTAATAAGAGCTGACTCGGTGGCACTATAAATRAAAACCAATGATTTCGAATTGGACAGTAAAAGGTTGCCAAGAGGTCGCGTAGAGAAGTTGTTATTGTTGTTGTGTTGGTGGTTTTTGCTCTAATATCACGTGGAATTTCGAATAGAAAAATAAAGGACAATAAGAATATAATAATAGAAGTATTTACCAGCAAGAATGCCCCTTCCTATAGTTTCTTCTTGAGGACATTGAGCCCCATATTCGGTGGCATTTAGTATTCCCTTCCATGGTTTAGCTGGCTGTGGAGCAGCAAATCTTAGCTCTCCTGTTGGTGGCTGAGCATAAGGTATGCCGATAAACAAGTCTATATCTTGACCTTTGGCGACAGAATCTCGTTTGCCACGAACTTGCCCAGCTTCGAGTTCAATAACAGGAAAATTTGTCGAGCTTTCTTTCACACCTTCGCTGAGAATTAGGGAGGAAACATGCGAGAGAACAAATAGGTACTTGATAGCGTGTGTCATGTTGGTATTCGAACAGATCTAAGTGCATGGATCACAAGGATGTCTAGATCCTTTCAAGCATTGCGTTCGTCACACAATCATGTAGCTAGCGTGACGTCTTGGCAAGATGACCAGACGGTGGTCAAACAAAATAAACAGGAATCCCAATTTATATTTTTGTGGAAAAATATGCCTTCACTTCTTTCTTTATCTGACGTCTAATAATCCATCCGTCCGTCCTTCTGTCTGTCTGTCCGTCCAACTATCCATTCCTTTAAGCTTAATTATCCGAACGAAATATTTTAAATTAGTCCTTCCGTCCGTTCGTCCATCCGTCCGTCCGTCCGTCTGTTCKTCCGTTCGTTCGTCCGTCCGTCCATTCTTATATATATTTTTCTAGCCTGTGTGGCAGCCCAGTCGAAAAATGCATTGCGTTTTTCCGTATTTTCCTGYGTCAGAAAATGCCAAATTGCGCAGTAGTACCCAGGGGTCTCCACGGCACTACCCAAGAGTCTTTTCGGACATATGATACAGAGATCCCGTGTAAATCCTGATTTATATTCAAGTGACAGTTGCCAATCAATGTCTAATTTATCAAAGTGATGGATTGGGGGTTGTCCTGCGAATCACGTGTGGAAATTAATGTCTACGCATATTGTTTTTTAGTTAGTTTCACTATTCTATCATATTCTGTTAAGTTAAAAAAGAAAAAAAGAAAAAAGAAAT